TCAGTGGTTACCAGGAATTGTCGAGTGAAATCTGAGTAACTTAGTATAGGTGTTGTTGTGAGCTTCACTTTTAATAATTCGAATGCATTCTGTTGTTCCTTTTCTATGTAACTCTCTTTTTAATCAATGCTCGGTTCTTATCTACATTCGTACACGCTCGTGCCGCGATAGTGTTAGTGTGCCGCTTTTATTACTTGTAGTGTGTGTACGTTCTCTTGGTCATTCGCCCGTAATTCTTCTATTGTTACGAGTGGCGTAATTATTTCGACGTTTTCTCCCGTATTTAACATGCTTATTGGGCACGTATATTCGTGCTACTAGGCAATTTCCGATAAATATTCCTGGTCTAGTTTCCTCTGATTTAACTATTCCAATACGATTTTTATCTGCGACCGCTCACACTATCGTTTCACTGCGGGGAGTCAGCGTTATTTTCTTGTACGGGTGAAGTTTCAAAGTTTATTCCGTCAATTTGCAAATAATTTTTTTAATCGCTTTTAATTTTGTGTTTTTGTAGAAAATTCATTCTGAGAATTCCTTCGTAATCGACAGGAAAATCATCTCTCACGATATGCATGATATGTCATATTTTCTTGTCGCCTATATGCACCATTGCTCTTATTTTTCTAATTGCTTTTACTTGATAGCCTGTCACGCCGATGAGGGCCAATAGCTTTTCTTGTATGAGTGTCAGGCTCTTTAAGTTTCCTACTTTAATTAAAGTAAGTGTAGCACCTGTATCTAGTAATAGATTTATCCGAATCTTCTTCATTTTTTTGATCGGTAATATTGCAAGTCTAAGGCCGGTATTCGCATTTCTCAGTTACTTGCGTAATTTGATGCTCACTAGCGGCTCGCGTTTTCCTTTTTTTTCTTTTCTCCGTCGCTGCGTACGACGATTCTTCGCTCTCGCTTTGTCGCTTATTTCGTCCTATCTCCACAGCTGTGTTTACACGCTTTGCAGGAGCATTCTGCTGACGCTTTGTCTTACAATCGGTGTCTCGCTTCGCGTATTGTTCGACTCTTTGTCGGGCCGTTCGTTCGATGACCAGCATTCATTTCTTTTATGTTCTGCTTTTTTGCAATACGTGCAATACGTGTTTTCTCGACGGCATTTATACTTGTTTATCGGCTCAGGGCAATAAGAATCTATTAGCGTAATAGCTTGACCGACAGTCTCGCCGATAATGGCCTATTTTTCCGCATTTGTTGCATTGCACATCTAAGTTTTTTGAGTTTTGGTTTTGACCAAATTATATTGCGATATATATAATATTTATTGCGATCATTATTATTCGCTCGTGGGACAGACCCTTTTACGCGTTCTTTCATGCTTGCTGCATTGATAGCTTCTTGCAGGCTTGAACATTTTTGTGATCATACTATTAGTTTAATATCTTCGCACAGTCTCAGCTCGAAATTTAATAAAGCTTAAGCCTGAATTATTTCTAAAATTGCTTGCTTGTATTTTCTTGTTTCTCGATCAACGATTCGTACAGCTCTATAGCTAAGGTATCCACGCGTCGTCCATTGGTCTGAACGCTTTCGCCTGGCTTTTGTTTTAAAGCATTAAACTCTAATTGTAAGCGTGACATTCCGCGTTTTTTCAAGTAATTGACTTCTATCTTTCGCAATAATTGTTCAAAGTCTGTTACGCTTCTAGTTTGGAAGTCTAATAGGAATTTTCCGTTCAGTTTCGTATTTAATTCTCTTTTAACAAGGCTGATTTTTCCGCGAAATTGATCTTCTGCTTCACATAGATACTAGCGCTTATGAATTCCTGCATCTTCTGACGCGAATGTCCGTCTATTTCCGGTATCAAACTCCGTGCATCTTTTACCATAGTCTTAAATATCCCGGGTCGATTTCTTGCTTCCCGCATATCATTTTGCGTCCGTCCGTATGTGATGTTTAACGTTCTGTTGTCAGTATACGCCAGTCGAAAGTTTTCGCAATCGTAGGTTGCATTTTACATCCTGCTCATTCTATCTTGTAATCCCGTAATTGCTTCCATCATTCTATTTAATATTTTCTCTTGTCTACTTTGAATTGGTGCTTCGTGTTCTCCTATAGTATTTCTAAGACGACTTATCTCTGCTTCTATTTCCGCGTTCGCTACTGGCTGATTGTTCACGATACCATCATCTTCGCGCGAAGTTGACGATTGATGCCTCGTCATATCTCTTACCGAATTAGGGCGTGCATTTCCAAATAAATTATTCTCTGAAATTAACGAAAGTTTTCGTTGTTCATCTATCGACTAATAAACTGTGATCTAAATCCAAGAATGGAAATACACGCTCAATAACAATATTCGGATGAGGTTCCGAATCGGATGCGCTACCGCTTGAGTATCGCGGTTTCAAAACACGACGCACATTGTCGCGTATGTCTGGCACAGCTTCTTCGATAATACGCACAGGGTTTAATTAGGAGTCTAATTCTATGACGCCCTGGTACAGGCTCGCTGTATATTTGCGAAGGTATCGGAGCGTTACGCCTGTCGCGATTGTTTTCACTTCCGGATATTTATCCGTTTATAATGGTTGCGTAAAGATTTTCGGACTTACATTAATGCGGTTAATCGCATGTTTCTTGTCCGCTGTTCGTTGCCTGACATATGCTGACTTTGTGATAGGTCGCGTCTCTCAGGTTACATAACACTGTTATCTGCATCCTGATTGTCGGATGCTCGATTTGACCGGGAATCTGGCTTCTGCTTTCCACCTTAGGCTGTTTCTTTGTCTATTTTAATTAATCCACCTTATTTACAGGCTGTTGCTGCTGTCGTCGCCGCTCCCGGGTCCTGAGCCACCTGTGTAGATCACACCGCTGCCACCAAATTGTTGTGCCGCTGTCCGACATGGTTCAAGATCCACCAAAGTCAGAACCATCAAAGATCAAACTTGAGAAATAATGACACTCACAGCACTTTGAAATTCGGAAATATATATAATTCTTTATTACTTTAATTCACCAATCGTTTTCATTTACCGATCACAATTTCGCTTATCGATACTCGCGATATATATATTGTTGATTCGACAGACAGCGCTACGCAACGTGTTACGTTCTAATTTAGTTTTCTGACCGATGACCGCATCCGTGGTCGCGCTTATATTCTACATATAATTTTCGAGTCCTTGAGCGTTCCGCTTATCGGACGAGAACAGCTTCTGAATCCGCATTTCTTTAGTTTATAATTTATTTTCGCTCAGATTTTTTTTTGTATAAATTCTTTAAAAGCATCTTTAAGTATATTTAAAACCGATTTCAGCAATCATTTATTTAGCATTTATTGCTTTCACGTTCGTGGCGCAATGGTCATTTGTGCAATTAGCACTCGTGCTAATATTAGCGCATCGATATGAAAATAGAATACTTAATTTGAGTATTCTATACAGTACGAGAATATCTAGGGAAATATTTTTCGACTGATATTAAACGAGATGCATTTGATTTTCTTGTATCTCTTTGTGCTAAATATAATTTTATAAAAAATTTGATTGACATCAAATTATTTCTACTTGTCGATGCATAACATGTGTGATGATACAAAAGTTATTACTAATAATAATTTTATTCTCTCAATTTCTATTAACAATTTGAACAAGAAAAGTTTTAATCTTAACAATTTGCTAAATACTTTATTTTCACATTGATTTAAATTAAATGACAAATTATGTGAACATTGTGAAGGAAATGATATATTATTTTAAAATGAAATAACATTGACAAAATAGATAATTATTATCCATTTAATTTTATTTTCATACTAAAATGGAACATGTTGTGTTACCTCACCAACAATTTGTGTTACCTCAAAAAAATAATTTATGTGCTCTTTCAGCAAGTAAATTAGCTACTAATAATTGGAAAGCTGTATAAATTATGAATGCTATATTTCATTATGGTTCATGTATCGAAAACGAACATTTTGTAAATATATGAAGAGAAGGATTATCTTCGAAAAGCTGATGATGAATGTAAGTTACAAAAAAGCAGTAGCGTAGAGATACAATACTAAAAATATTTATATATTAGAAATTTATATATTACATTTTTAGAAAAAATTGATAATAAGTAATATGTTCTAGTAATACGCATATGTATGAAGAGATATATTATATTAATCATATAAGATGTTTAACATTACAAAATACGTAATAAATATCTCAACAAAATTACTTTTAAAAAAAAAATAAAAAAAAGGCGCTAAGTGTGCATATCTCCCATAAAAACCTGTTATATAAATTAAAAAAAAAATCTGTTACGTAAATAATATAATTGATAATATTGTTAATTTTTTATTAAAAATTACCCTTCAATAGTACGTATGCGTGTATTAAAAATAAAATGGAATATTCGGTACTAAACTTAGTTTTGACAGGTTTTTGGCTTAAAAAACTCATTTATCTCGATATCAAAAGCAAAAAATATATCAATTATAGTATTTACTCTTACTAGCTATATATTTTTCCCATTTTTGTGGCAATAAGTGGATTCCGCGACGATAAAACGATTGTTCTTTTGAAGCAATCCATTCATCGATCCATTTTCGCACATCCTCGTAATTTCTGAAGTATGTATCCACCAAGTCGTGCTGCATTAATCGGAATAAGTAATAGTCTGAAGGAGCTAAGTCTGAGGAATACACTGGGTGCGGGAGAACTTCTCACTCGAGCTGCATCAATGTTTCCTTGACAGCTTTTGCAACGCGTATGGTCAAGCATTGTGCAAAAGCATAACTTTGCGTAGATCGCTGGCTACTACTGGCCTTTTTTCAAACAATGCTTCATTCAGACGGTTCAATTGTAATTGATATCGATCCCCCGTGATTGTTCGGTTTGAGTAGCTCATAGTAAACGACGCCTTGCATATCCCACCAAATGCAGAGCATTGCTCTGTGACAATGATATTTCGCTTTGGCAGATGTTGATGGTTGGCCAGGATTCACTCATGACTTTTTGCGTTTGAGATTATTAAAATAGATCTACTTTTCATCGCCAGTCACAATGTGCCACAAAAAACTCTTTTTTTTTCTGTTTGGCGAGCAAAGAAATAGAGATGTTTAAGCGATTCGCAATGGCATTTTCGGTTAATTCGTGTGATACCCATTTTCCTTCCTTTTGAATCTTTCCCATTACATGTAGACGTTTGGAAACAGCTATCGGAGTATCGGAGAGAACATTTAATGCTGCAGACAATTCTTGGAGCGTTTGAGCTGAATTTTCCTCCAATAATGCTTGCAATTTGGTGTCTTCAAACTTTTTCGGTTGACTTGAGCGTTGTTTATCATTCACATCATAATTACCACTCTCAAATCGTTGAAACTATTTTTGGCATGTTCTTTCTGATGGAACACAATTGCCATAAGCTTCGACAAGCAATTTAACTGCAGCTGCAGCTGCAATTTTTTTCAAATCAAAGTAATGAAGCATCATACGAGTATGTCGAAAAAACAACTTATCACGTTCCATGTTTAATAATAAAAAAAATGGCACTGTTCGCTTAATAATCTTTTATTAAATAAATCTTTTCGCACTGAATTTTATTGACAAACGTCTAACCTTTAAAATGCAGCCAGCTTCAGATGTCAAAGTACTTACACCTATAATTAGCGTCATTTAAATATGAGCCGCCGAAACTAAATTTAGTATCTAATCAAATCTTTAAATTGCGCCAATTACAAAAAGAACATATATTTTCTTGCAACATATAATATATATATTTTATTTTATAAATTGCGAAAAGAACATATATTTTATTCTAAAAAATAATAAATAAAATGCCAATTTGAGCCGACACTGGTTATTAGTGTGTAATATATAATATCATTTATTCAAAATGAATTTTAAACGTATACGTTTCGACCTACGGTCAAGATCCTCTTCAGTATAAATTATTAATTATTAAGTTAACTAAAAAGAAAAATATTTTGTTTTTAAAAAACGACAATTTTAAGAGTTAAAGTAATTAAAAAATTAAAAAATTACAAAATGCTAACAAGAGAAAAAAATGGTAAAAAACTTACATAACTATCAAGATTGAACTAATTATATAAGGTTTTTGTTACATATGTTCCATTAAATTGTTCCATTTTCTACATAATGCAAATGTGAATAGACTAGAAAGCTAATATAAATAACAGTAAAAAACAATTTTAATTCACTTACGCGAAATAAATTTTGAAAGATATAAGATAACATAACTGTTTGGCAGATAGATGTAAAATGAAAGTGAAAGCAACAGTAAATAACAGAACATGTACTTACAAAGAAAATAAGTAAAAATATAAATACTAAATAACGAAGTATAAACAATATAGGTTGGAAGCATTCGTCTCTGAAAATAGATCAATATATAACGGATCTAGAGAAATTGTATTGTTTTGCAAATCCAGGACTTGTTTTTGTCTTTTAATGTGTATTATCTGTGATAATAATCTTTTATGAAGAATTTGCTCCTTATCTAAAATATGTACTTTATCCCAATTAAAATCATGACCCAAGTCAATACGATGTTGCATAATAACAGAATATTGTGTCGTGTTTCTGTTAATATGGTTCTTATGTTCATTAATACGTGTTTTAAGACATCTGCTCAACATAAGATGCATCATAGTCCTTACAATCAATCTTATAAATAACATTAGATTGACAAGAATGAGGCAGAACGTCTTTCTGAACTTTAATGAATCTGTTAAGTTTATTAATGCCTCTGTAAGCCATACATAAAAATGATACATTTTTTAAAAGCTTACTGATTTTCGTCGGAAATATAAGAAATAAATAGAATACAGAAAAATTTTTTATTCTTGTCATCCTCTTTGGTTATCAATTGTTCATCGCTAATAAAATTATCAACTCAATTGAAGAGGTCAAGTTTTGTGTGAAGTCTTTTTTTAATAGTTGAAAATATTAAGTTTAGGGAATAGCAATTATTCAACAAGATTTTAATAACCAAATAAAAATTCTCTTTTTATGGAAACACGGATGGGAAAATAATAATACTCTATCAATGAACCCAATAATCGTGTCAATTTTTTGGCAAACAGGATGCCACGAAAAATAATTCAGAAAGCGACCTGAAAATGTAGGTTTACAATTATTATTATTATTAGGCGTTAGGAACTCGAAAGCTCATTGCCGCAAATACCAAATCCCGCCACTGTTCCCGTCCCTGAGCCAGATCCCTCCATTTGTGACCCTCGTACCCCATTTCGTTAAGGTCCATTCTAATATTTTCTTCCCATCTACGCCTTGGTCTACCCAATGGTCTTTTCCCATCGGGTTTACCAATTAGTACTTTATATGCAATTCGATTCTCATCCATACGCGCCGCGTGACCTGCCCATCTTAATCGACGCGATTTTATGACATTAATAATATCCGGACTATTATATAATTGATGTAATTCTGCGTTGTGTAATTTTCTCCATTCGCCCGTTTCCTCATCGCGTTTTGCCCCGATGATTTTTCGAAGTACTTTATTTTCGAAAGCCCTAAATCTTTTCTCGTCTTGTAATGTAAGTGACCACGCTTCGCTGCCATAAAGGACTACCGGTAAAATAATCGTTCTGTAAATTCTAATTTTTAAGCGCCTAGACAATATCCGCGAACCGAGTAGTTTCTTAACCGAATAGAAGCACGCATTCCCCAAATTAATTCTTCTCTTGAGCTCTTCTCTTATTTCATTAGTTTGGTTTAAAATCGATCCTAAATACTTAAAATTGCTAACCCGTTCAAAAATTTTATCACAGACGACCAGGTTTCCGTTATTATGAATATTCTGAATTCTATCAGTGACCATATATTTAGTTTTTTCAACGTTTATTTGCAGCCCCAGTTCTTTCGTTTTATCTAATAGAATTTTAGCGTTATTTATTAGTGTTTCTTTATTATCTCCCAACAAAGCAATATCGTCCGCATATGTTAATATTTGTGTTGTACCGTTCAACTGCAAACCATCATTACTCTTCTGCATTTCTTTAATAGCATATTCCAATACTAGATTAAACAGAAGAGGTGACAATGCATCCCCCTGCTTTAATCCGCTATGAATATTAAAAGTTTCCGACATTTGATTACCTATTCTTACTCTACCTCTGGTATCTTTTAAACAAACTTGGACTAAGTTAGCCAATTTTTTGGGTATCCCCCACCGAGTTAAAATTTCATACATTTTCTCCCGTTTTATCGAATCATACGCTTTTTTAAAATCAATGTAAAGTTGATGTACCGATTGGTCGAATTCCCATTTTTTCTCCAAGATTTGCCGAATAGTAAAGATTTGGTCCGCAGTCGATCTATTTCTCCTAAAGCCGCATTGATGATCTCCAATTATCTCATCTGCATATGGTACAAGCCTCATTAATAAAATATTCGACAGAATTTTATAGCATGTAGGTAAAAGTGAGATACCCCGGTAATTATTACAACTCATTTTGTCCCCCTTTTTGAAAATCGGGATTATAATTGAATCTTTCCATTGTTCCGGCAATGCTTCTTTATTCCATATTAAGATAATTAATTTCTGAATTTCTTCTATCAATCTACTTCCCCCCCATTTAATCAGTTCCGCCGGAATCAAGTCATTACCCGGTGCTTTGTGATTTTTTAATTTTTTAATCGCGCTTTCTACTTCTGAAATTGTCGGTTCGTTAATCCTAGGTTCAGCCGTGTGATACTCAAAATTCTCTATTTCCCGGTCGTTTTCAGATTCGACATTCAATAACCGATCAAAATAATTTTTCCATGTGTTTAAAACTGCCGTTGTATCCGTAACTAAATTATCGTTCTCATCTTTCACCATTTCCGTCCTAGCTTGGAATCCCTTTCTAAAATTATTTATCCCCATGTACGTGCCTCGTACGTTACTGCTTTTACAATTTTCATCTATTTCTTCAATTTTACGTTTTAAGTATTGACGCTTCTTAATTTTAAACATATTATGAGCCTCTTGCCTAATCTTAAGAAACTGATCCCGAGTTTCCTTCGTATTTTGAGCCAACCACGTGATGCGCGCTTCGTTTCGTACTTTAACAATTTTTACGCATTCTTCGTCAAACCACGGCTTGTTTTTGTTCCTTTTACAAAAACCAACCGTGGCCTCCGCCGATTTTACTATCGCGTCTCGTACGTTTTCCCAGTGTTTATCAACCGTGTTATCATCCGATTCATCTATTTCCTTTGAAGCCGCGAGTCTATTCGTTACTTCGACCGCGTATTTTATTCCGTTTTCTCCCTCGATCAAACCTTGTACATTTAGACGTTTAGTTCCAAACAACTGCCCGTTAGTTTTGTTTAGCGAAAGACGTTCCCTGATTTTGGCAATTACAAAGAGGTGATCCGAGTCGCAATCCGCCCCCCTATAAGACCTGACATCGAGTACGTTCGTGTGACGCCGTTTATCTGCAAGAACGTGATCAATTTGGTTACGCGTGCCTCCATCCGGGGAAATCCAAGTTTGTTTATGGATATTTTTGTGTTTAAAATACGTGCTTTTGACGATAAGATTTTTGCCGGTCGCAAAGTTAATTACCCTCACTCCGTTATCGTTACTTTCCTCGTGCAAACTTTCGAGCCCGATCGTTGGTCTAAAAATGTCCTCTTTACCGATTTTCGCGTTAAAATCTCCCACGACTATTTTCATGTAATCGTTCGGTAATTGATCCACGAGGTGTTCGAGTTCTTCGTAGAACCCGTCTTTAATTTCGCCATCTTTATCTTCCGTCGGCGCGTGTACGTTGATTATCGCGATCTTGTACCATCGGCCCTGCACAACGAGCAATCCTAATCTTTCGTTTATAAATTTAATGTCTTTTACCGCGGATAAGATTTTCCTATTAATCATAAAACCGATGCCAAGACTATGGATCTCCGACCCTCCATAGTGAAGCGTGTACGAACCCGCATTAAGCGAACCCTCCCCGGCCCATCTTGTTTCTTGCAACGCGACAACTTCTACCCCGTACCTTTCGACCTCCCCGACCATCGATTGAAACGCCCCAGGTCTGTAAAGACTTCGGACGTTCCACGTACCCACTTTGAAGTCTCTCCCGCGTTTTGACTTTATACGACATGAGTTCCCCGAGGTAGTCCCCACCCGGAGATCCGAACGGGGGACTAGTTTACCTCCGGAAAATTTTACCCCAGAAGAATCCATGGCGAGTTTTGGTTGTTTCAAGATAAAGTCGTTTCACGGTGAGAGCCTATCAAACCCACGCCCAACCCCCAAACAGGAGGACCATTCCAATCGGCTGTCCGCGACTGCTTATTCAATTTATTCGCAGCTAGCCTCTATCCTCAACCGAGATAGCGAGGCTTTTCCTCTATCCGCAACCCGAGGACGCGCTGTGTCGTGGTGATTGGGACCCTCCCACCCCGGGGATCACTACTGCAACTAGTTTTCCTTCCCCGAGACTAGCGGTTGTTATGCTAACACAGGTAGGTTTACAATACCAATCGAAAATAAGAGTTTCATCTTTTCTTATCAAGCAAATGTCCAGAAAATTCAATGAATCTCCACCAATAACCATTGTGAATTATAGTCGTGGATGATAAAAATTTAATTTAATAAGAATCTCTTCAATATGAGCATTGTCAATAGCTAAAGCAATGTCATCAACATACCTAACATAGAACAATGGTGTCATGGAAAGTTTATTTAACGAAACTGACTCTAAATCCTGCATAACTAAGTCCTCTAGTATAGAAGATAATGGAGAGCCCATAGGTACACCGAAAGTTTGTCTGTAAAATTTGTCATTAAACATAAAAAAAGTAAAATTCACAACTAATTTCAGTGCTCTAAAAAATTCCGTTTTCGAAATGTCAGTGTTTTTATCTATAAAATACCATCTATTGACTATAATATCAAGAACTAAATCAATCGGTACATTAGTAAAAAGAGACATTACGTCCAAAGTTAAAAGGGAGGCTTCGGCAGGAATTGTTAAATGAATATTTTTTTGTCAAAAGATAGCTATTAATAGTAGAACTAATAGTAGAAAGACGCTAGATTATGAAGAGGGCTTCCAACAGATGAAACTATGATTCTCAATGGACATCCAAATTTGTGGATCTTAGGTAACCCATAAGCTAATGGTAAAATTGGTGTGGTACAATTTAGATTGTTATAACTACAATCCGAAAGGTATCCGTAAAACTTCCAACTCTTCAATAACGATTTCAATTCAATAATAATTTTATTTATTGTTACGTCTTAAATTTTTATTGGTATTAGAGTCGGCGAATAACAACTTCATTTTATGCATATACTCATGTTTATCTAATGCCACAACTACATTGCCTTTGTCCGCTTGTGTAAAAATAATATTAGGATTATTGTTTAAAAAAGTTTTTGTTGATCCAAAGAGAGACAAAATGTCAATTTTAATTTTAGTACGTTTGGAAACCTGTTTAATAGTTTTCAGTAATGGAAATATTTTATTTCTAAATTCAGTAATTTTAGGAATTTTTAGCCTTATAAAATTAAATTCGATGTGTTTAACAAAGTCGATAGTAGTAGACTTAATATTATAATTTGGAAGACAAAAATTTTCACCTAATTGTAACAATAAATGTACTTCTTTGAATATTAAAGTACTGCTGAGATTATTAAACCAAAAATTATTTATATCGGTAATTTTATAAGAAATATCTTTGTAATCTGAAGTAATTAAATTGGTTTCAATCAATTCTTCAATACGAGGGCAAGTCAATAAGTTTTTAGAAAAATGTAGTAAAACACATTTTTTTTGATCGATTCATTTTTGTTTCTCAACATAGTCTCCTTTCAGCTTGATACACTTGATCCAACGATTCTCCTAATTTTTTCAAGCCGTCCGAATAATATGATTTACCCAACTCTTCAAAATAAACCTCTGTTTCGGCGATGAGCTGCTCTATGGTGGTGAATCTCTTTCTTCCGAACCATTTCTTCTGGTTAGGAAACAGGAAATAGTCGCAAGGGACTAAATCTGACGAATATGCTGAATAGGGAAGCAATTTGTAACAGAATTCGTTGAATTTGGCCATCGATGCTGGGCACGTGTAAACCCGTGCATTGTCTTGAAGAAAGGCACTTTCTTCTTCACCAAATGAGAACGTTATTTCTTTAAAATGTTGTTAAAATATGGTCCAATAAGGCTACATAGTAATCGCCATTGATTGTTTGCTTCGACAAAAGGTAATCGATATGAATTATACCGCGTTATGCATCCCAAAAAACTGCGACTATCACCTTTCCGGCCGACGGTCTTCGCCTTCTTCGGAGCTGGTTCACCCGGCGAAGTCCATTGTTTTGATTGTTCCTTCGTCTCGGGTGTGAAGTAATGGATCTATGTTTCGTTCGCAGTAATGAATCGACGCAGAAATTCATCTGGTTACGTTGAAACTTCTCCAAACATTGTTTTGAAATCGTCACACGGTTGCACTTATGATCCACAGAGCAAACGCGTTACCCATCTTGCCGATAGCTTTTTCATACCCAATTGTTCGTGCAAAATTGAAATCACTGTGCCATGTGATATGCTTGTGGCCTCAACAAGCTCGCGCACTTTCACTCGTCGATTAGTCAAAACAATATCGTGGACTTTATCGATGATTTCTGGCGTAGCAGCCTCAATTGGACGTCTGGAACGAGGTGCATCACATATGGATGTACGACCATGTTTAAATTCATTCACTCAATTGTACAGTCGCAATCGCTGGTGCAGATGTGCTATGAATATTATCCAACTCGACTTTGACTTCTTTCGGAATTAAACCTTTCATATGTAGATGTTTGATCATTGCACGAAACTCGTTTTTTTTTTCATTTTGCAAAAAATACAAAGGTTGTTTGCTTTAATCGTCTACAGAAATGAAACCGCGCGATGAATTCCGCTCAAAAATTGACATTTATCAGCTGAAAGATACTACTTGTTAAAAAGTAATGTGACATGACACTACGAGTGCCCTCTACAGATTTTCTAAGTACTTATTGACTTGCCCTCGTATCATTTAACTTCGGTGTAAACAAATTTTTTTCGAGCATATAAATTAGCAGTGTTACTCGCAGATTCCGTACATTTATTATTCACGTAATAATATTTAATATCACTTATATTCCTCCTCTCATGATATTCCTTATTGTTAAGTAACCAACTGAACTTTCTTTCTAATCTATAAGATTCAGTATTATAAAGTTTTTTTAAATAAATGGATTGCGAACGTAAAAAGTTATTAAAAATATTGAAAGAGAGAATATTAGTGATATTTAAATTTAAATAACATATATCATATTCAAGACATCTACGAAAATTGAAAGCATCTAAAAGTTCAAACTTCATAAGAAAGTCAATATGTTTTTTAATACTATTATTCGCTTTGAATTTGTGTTTTTGAACATGAAATTTTAAATTAAAAAAACTATTATTATATAAATGTGAAGAACAAACACCACAAGATTTACAGTTACGCAAAAAAGAAATTCTTAAATTGACCATGACAAGTTCCGTATTTAATTTTGTCCAGGATTTTAATAAATTAATTACATATACACCCAACGTAAAAAAACTTAATATATTGAAAAAAAAGATCTATGTCTAAAAGAACGCATATTTCAGGCAGTGCAAATTAAAACAATAAAAATAATAGGCTCTAAAGAAAATTCTAAAAATAATAAATAATATATATTTTATTGCAACATAAAACATTTAATCACAAAAAAAGACAAAACATCACAAAATGAGAAAATTTTATTAAATGATAAAATTTTTGTAAAAAAATTTGGTGCTGCTAGGCCACAAAATATAATAAGGTGATTGTAACGTCCGGGTGTCAAAAACTGCCAAATCGGCCGTCACTTTAGAACACATACTATAGCCAGGAATTGCACGGCTTATACCTGCACAGCTGATCAAGTAGCAAGTACGATCCTCTCACGACGGACCATGCGCCAACCGCGTGAACCGCTATTATCACTCTTGCTATTATAATCTTTTAAATAAGTTGCTTAGAGAAAGGATACCACATTCATTTCAAAAAAGCACAATAAGAAAGGAGTACCTCCCCTCTTTAACCATCAAATAGAAAATAAGGATAACTGTTTATTATGAGAATCATATAATCGCGCAAAATAATCCATAAAATACCCGCAGGATATCCACAAACTGATCGTTGGAACTAAGCGAATACAAAAACAGCTAGCGGCGTCTCGTATTAATTATAAACACCAATTACCGGAATCGAGCACGGAATACTCGCGGAGTCTCACGAGCAATTCAACTTATCGATCAGATACGCGAAATGCGTGTATAAAAACAGCAAAATCTACAGCAGACAGTTGCAGGTACATTTCAATCGTGATAAGGACATGAAACGACGAAGTCAAACACGTGGATTCACCTCGTATCCATGGAATAGCGATAACGATGATATTTAACGAATAATAGGCAAATGAAAATCTGTAGAATATTCTAGAATCATGCTCGAAATTATCTCTCTCACCGCGAGATGTCATTTCCTTGGAGTATATAAACCGATGCTGCTAGGATTTCGGGTTCTCATTTCGCTTATTCTTATCCGACAGTTAACCTTGCTCATTCTGTTTACTAGTCTTAGTTTATTTCCCCGGTAGTATGGTAAGCATGATACGTTTCAACACTTAGAAATTTTCGGTTTTACGAACAAGTCAGCGGCTAAGTCCCGACGGGGAATTTAGAAATTTCACGGCACCGTAGTCTTTGTACTTATAAAATTTTCGTTACTTATATACTTATCAATTTCGTGTAACTTACAATTAATTGTATTCATAATCTTCACATAATTCCGGTACTTGTAAACTCTTCGTGCTTACAGTTCCATGCTTATAATTCTCCCGTTACGTGTAAGTTTTCTATTTGTAATTTCTATCAATTCCGCCCTTCGGGCTCCGTCTTTCGGTCTTGCGTTTTTTTTTGTGTAACAATAAAAGATAACTTTATTATCATATCTAACAATCTAATTAATATTCAAAGAACTGGAAAGAATACGGGCAATAGGCGTCTAGCGCAGAAGACGTCGAGCAAATAATATATCTGAAGTGTAAAACTTCTTTATTCACTAAAACGCTTTCCATTATTTCCTTTTTTCGTTCTTTTTTCTTTTTTCTTTTTCTTTCACTTTTTTGGTGTTTAAATT